CTTCCAAACCCTCTTCAGGGGTTTTCCCTACTTAAAAAGGCCCACTTATAGAAACTACTATTTAGCATTTTTGGAATTTGTTATCTTATTAAGCAGAGTCTAAGTCAGGAGGCTTTGAACTTGGACAATTACTGCTCTTGATTAACAACAAGAACTGATGAGTTAGCCTTTCCAGTGCGTTAAGCAAACTCAGCCAAGCAGAAAATATCACTGAAGGGGAAACAACGGGAAGTGATTTTCTTGGTTACATTATAGCCGTTGCGATATTTACACATGTTTGTAGGTAATGTGGGAACGCTGCTGGCGTGCCCTTCCACACAACACCACTGAGTTTGACATGCCGCGTTTCCCACTTGACCTGGGCTGTAATGTCATCCCGTGACTGCAGGTAGCTGGCCTTGTCGGAAAACCACCATCCTAGGACTGGTCAGGCCTGGGTGTGGGATCTCTACCAAGCACCTTTCAAGTCCCACTCCTCAGGTGACCTTGGGACCTGTACCAGGTCTAGAGTTTAACAGGCAGCTTTGGCTTCACAGCACAGGACAGTTCAGTAGGAGAATGTACTAAATTTTAGTTAATGTTTGAACTCAGATAGTTACTGCTCTTTAGTTTTTTAAAGAAAATAAAAAATAATTAAAAAATTAGAAATGATACAGAATTTCAATAAACAAGATGATAGGAATTCAACAGGATTGTTACACTGCATATTACTGTCTTCAAATTAGTTGTTCAGATTTACTGCTCTTGATTAACTTATTTTCATATATTTGTGATCCCTGCATAACATATAGATCTCCGCATAGCATATACACAGATTACATAGACATAGATGATATAGACATAGATATAGATAGATACAGATACATAGATAGATATAGCTGTAGATAGATATCGATCTGAGAATCACCTTTTATATAATTGCATCTAAATTTTTTGTATATTTAGGGTATTATACCTTCTCATATTTCATAGGTTTATTTTTCCAAGTTATTTGTCTTTGCATTTTGTTAATTTTTTCTTTGATAATAAAAGTAAAAAATAGTCAAAATATGCCTATCTTTTCCTCTGAAACTTTACATTTTCTTAAACCTACAAAATCACATTCCACATGGAGGTCTGAAATACATAATTATCTATGACCCTAGTAGTTCTGTAAAAAATTTTAAAAATAACTTCTTGCTCGACTAGGAATTTATATAAGTTCTGAGGTAAAGATCTCCTTACCCTGGGGAACTGAGAAACCTCTGGTGTGGCCATAGAAGGTCTGATAATGTTCCTGGGTAGAGCTGGCACTGGACAGGACCAGCAGGGTTGGCGCATGAAAAGCAGACCCAGGTTGGACTTGGATCTGGGGTCTCTGCTCTGGGATAGTGTAATAGACTAAATAATATCACTCCAAACTTCATATATTAGAATCCCAGTCCTCAGTTCCTGAGAGTGTAACTGTATTGAGAGATTAGTTCTTTAAGGTAAAATGAAGTTGTTAGAGTGAGCCCTAACCCAGCACAACTGGTGCCCCTGTGGGAAAAGAGTAGGTCACAACTTGTAGAGGAAGACCAGAAGGAAGATATAGAGAGAAGACAGCCATCAACAGACAAGGAGAGAGGCCTCAGAGGAAACCAACCCTGCTGAAACACTGATCTTGGACTTCTAGCCTCCAGACTTGGGAGAAAAAACCAATTTCTGTTGTTTAAGCCACTTGGCCTGTGGTCCTGTGCTAAGCAGTTAAAAAACCAACACAGGAGCGCTCTTTGCTGAATGCCCTCAGGCTCGAATCATGGTCTGCTTGGATGACCAAACAAAGATAGCTTTGATAATTTTTTAAAATTGTGTTACGACACATGCTTTAGAGAAAAAACCAGAACATACTGATAAACAAAAACTAAGATCATCTGTCTATTAATTCCCTCAGAGGTCCAAAATTACAGTGGCTGCATCCCTTGCAGAGGAGGCCTCCCAGTGAAGTCTCCTGGGGTCACAGGAACACCTGTGTCTCACAGGCAGGACTGCTGAGGCAGTGGACTAGGGAGGCCACCGCAATGCTCAGTCAGCCAGTAGAGTCCCCTTCACCACATCCGCACACAGCTGGCCAGAATTTCCAAGGCTGTCAGGTCCGCAGAGCTGGAAACCCATCTGCTTCCAGCCCTTGGGGAGTAGGCACTCCTCTGTAGCCCCCTGTGTAGGGTCTCTAACCTGTACCCGCACTGGCCACCTCACCCTCCCCCCTGAGCCACCTCGCTGCTGGGAAATTATGTGAGCCCAGGCCAGCTCTCTCATTTGGTGCACTACCCAGGTTAGCCCTCCCTATGACCCAGGGGCACCACAGAACCTCAGAAGGTGGGTTGGGGGAAAAGGACCACAGTGCTTGGATAGCTCAGAGGTAGACAGTCTAGTGTCTCTTCCCAACACACACATTTACATGTCCTTTTGGCCTTGTGCATACTGTTACCTCTGCCCTGAGCGCCTTTCCTTCACACTTTAAAATTTCTTGTTGAAATTCTACTTGCCTTTCACAGCTAAGCTCAAAAGCTACTTCTTCTAGGAAGTCTTCCGCGACTATCTCTTACCCAACTGAAAGGAATACTTACACTGAGTTTACACTTTCTTAGCTGCCCCATGTGTAGGGGATACTGCTAATATGATGCCTAGAGTTAAAATATGCACATCACCTGCCCCCAGACACAGGTTCCTGGTTGGTTCATTTCTGCATTCTTCCTTCCCCCTGCACCTAGCACAGAGGAAGTTCTGACTACTTTGACCTTTGGGTATGAAATCATGACTCTTTTACAACAGAAAAGACACCATGGCAAAATTCACATTTGTCACTTGGACAAACTTGTACATAGTGCATAACACTTACTCCTCACAGCACTAAGGGAAATGTTACAAGGTTTGTAAACATTATACAGGTGCAGAAATCAAGGCTTCTAGAAGTTAAAAGACTGCTAACAACAGCAAACTGACCTTCAAGAGCTAGAGGTGAGACTCATAGCCAGGGTAGTTGGAAGCTTTACCCTTAACCCATGGCGGCCTTATCATGCCACGAGGTATCCCTGTACCTGGCACCTGTTGCAGGGCCTGGCTCCAGAGGGGTCTGAGGAATGATTGGGTCTGAGGCTAACACCTCACACTGCAGACCTCAGTATCCCCTTCTGCCCCTCTGCGAATGTTGCTTAGTGCAGAGGGACTGCCAGGGGCTGCGTGAATGTGCTCAGGGTTGGCACTTCCATGCCCTTGGGTAAGGAGCATGTCCCTCACTCCCCTTAGCTGTCATGTAGGGCTGCACCTGTCTTGGTCACCCCAGGTGTTGGTGCCTTATTTCTAAGGAGGGCACAGAACACCAGGAACAAGAGCTATGTACATCGTCAGGGACCGAAGTTCTGCCCTGCATCACCACTTTCCAAAGGTCTGGGGTCCAATTTCAGGTCTAAAACAAGCTGCTCCTCTTTGAAGTTTGTACTCTAAGAGCACTGAAAAGAAAGAAGGGCCCAAGCTCTGCCATAGTTTTCTTGCTTTGCTCTGTCCCCCAGGAATCATCATCATCACCATCCATTGCAAAAATGAATGGAGGCCATGCAGCCTGCTTTATTAAATATGAATGAGTCGCAGTCCATGGCCCCCACGTGGTCACTTGCCCACTCCATCTCTGGCAATTACTGAGTTGCACACACTGTGCCAAGGGGCGCAATGGTCCCTGCCTGCCCTTGCAGACTGACATTGCCCGGCAGGAGCAGGGCTCGGGTCTGCAGAACCCTGCCCCCTAATGAAAAGCCATCTCTGGGCTCCTGTGCAGCCAAAACAGTTCTGAAAGCTTAGGGATAGGGAATCTCCCACAGAAGGACTGTGTTCTTGGGCTCCTGGGCTCTTGGGCTCTGAGCTCTGGCCAGATATAGCCAATGCTATGGAGCCTGAAGGCACGCCTCCTGGGGTGAGAGGCTTCTCAAGTCTGTCTGCACCCAGACATTTCAGGTCCCAGAAAGTTCAGCCTGAATCAAAGTTAAAAGCATAGGTGCAGACCACACCATTTCCTTGGCATGTCACATGTGCTACTTTAAGCCTTACAACACCCACTACATTGTAGGCTGATAATTGGGCTCTTGTTCACCCTGTTCCTGCCGTACCTCCCGGTGCCAGGGACATACTACATGCTCAGTCAGTTTGCTGAATGGATATATGAAGTGGTTATTACCATTCCAGAACCAAAAAAGGTGAGATGGGGGGACCCTCAAGGGTAAACTCTGCCCCTCCTGCCCTGCCCAGGCCAGAGTCCAATGATGCACACATTGTTCTGGATACAGATTTGTTCTGACCTTGATTTAATTGGGAGCCATCAAACTCCCCACAACTCCATGTGATTTAGTCAACTTGTCAGAGGCCACTCATGAACAAATAAAAGAAACCTGAGCAAATTCTTTTTCTGAACTTAAAAAATTACTTTTATTTTAGGAACCAATAAAATTATGGCAAATATTTACAAATAATTATCTCACATAAAGGTTACATAAAATCAATTCTTCACAAGTTAACAGTCACTCATGAAAAGACACACGGATATTGAAACTACCAATCTTATTGCATTTTTATCCAACTAATCTAAAATAAAGGTGTTGCAGCCAACCATTTAACTTAAAATAAGACCACAAATTTCAGGTTTGACAAGAAAAAAAGGTTAAAAAAAAATTAAGCCCATATCCCACCCCGTGTCCTCCCAGCCCCACCCCACCCCTTGCCCTCCTCCCAACAAAAGAAAAATATGTCCAACATCTTTGGCAAATTGGCACAGCTGTAATTACATTCAAATATTATTACACACAAAAGCAACACACGTCACTAAGAAAAAAAACCACCAATATTTCAAGTCAGTTATTTTCTACTAGAAAAAAAGAATACAAAACATACACATTTTTAAGAAGCATTTTTTTTCAATCTGTTGGAGACAGATCATCTCCCACTTTCAAAGGCAATTCAATTGTGATTTTTTTTTTTGTTAGTTTTTGTACTTTTTTTTTTTTTTTTTTACAAGTAAGCGTCTATGCAGGCATCACAAACTTTGGCGGATACAGTAGATATGTATTTCTTTGATGCTGGAAATTCAGTTCCTAAGACAAAATCAACTGTCTCAAAGAATGAAAAGCAAAATCCATGTGTTTTCCTAGCAGAGAGTTCCATTTGCAATACAATCTGCACTTCTACAAATACTCAATGTCCAAAGGCCACTAAAGGGTGAAAAACCAGGGCAGCATCTTCCAGCAGGCATCAGGGCCAAATCAGACTCAGAATTCCAACCTCAGCCCAACATGGGAGGCCCAGTGGCTGGGCTGGAGAAGTGGGGCCCCACCAAAGCTAGGCCGTCACTGCCCACCACCCCACACTGTGCTGGTGGCTTAGGGCCAGGGCCCAGGTCTGCCTCTTCCTGAGCCCCAGGAGAGTCTGCTGCCAGGTCTGCTTGCTTTCTGTGACCAAAGGTAAGGACAGCAGGCAAGAATTGGCATGAGGAGACTCAGCACTTTTTCTGAGTTTCAAGTAATTCTGAGGTGTAGATGTGTGTGTGCCTTGTGCACACACTCGTGTGCACACTTTGTGAAGGGGAAGGCCAGATTCTGAGGCTCTGAGCTTTGCAGGGTGTTTAAGATAGACTTGAGATTTATTTATTTTCTTTTTAGCTTTATAGCAATTAATTCTCTATTGATTGGTTGGAATGTTCGACTCTATTTCCTCAAATACAGTAAAGTAGTTTCATTAAAATGTATTCATGCTTGAAAATAAGGGAGCCATTAAATGGTTTCCTTTCTGTTCCACTCCAAGGGAAATGCACCATTTGTAAATCAAAAATCCATCATCCAAAATCACTTGTTCTTAATGGCGCTTACGGAGAAGAGGAGGGACATGGCCACAGGCATAGTGATTTGGGGGACAAGGGAGGCTCAGTGGCCCCAGCCTCAGGGTCAGTAGAACCAGGTGAGGGTACAGTGTGGCCCCCAACCAGGCTCAAAGTCCGGGAAGGGGATACAGAACTGCCAAGTCCCCTTCCCCTTTGTTTCACCTGTTTCCCCCCGTACCATGCTTAGAGCCACCGGCTGTCTCTCCTGCCACAGGCCAAGGGCATTGCTTGAGCCCGGCTCCACTTGGGAATCTGGGCAGAGAAAGGCAGGTGTGCTTTCTCCTGGTACTGCTCAGGAGGAATACGAATGTCTAGATTTAATGCAGGGGGCTATGTTTACCTCCCATTTGGAGATGAGCTAAACAGGACTCCCTGGAGCGAAACTCTCCAACAGCAGTAACATGATTCTCAGGTCCCCTTCAATCCTGAGGCATCGGGAATAGGGCCCAAGCGCCAAGGAAATACCAGAGAATGAAAAGAAAGACTGGTATCTGCTCGTTCCCAGACAGCAGCCCACCTCAGAGAAGCTGCAGCCTCATCAGACACACATGCGCAGGGAACTCACTGTGTCCTCTGAAGCCAGCCCCTGGGGACCTGGTTGCCACTTGAGGTGCAGCTGGATCTGACAGCAGGGAAGTGTAGATCAACGCTGTGGCTCCCCCATGAATATGCAAGAGGGAATCCTGAGGTCTGGGGACAACAGGGGACAAGGGGCCGAAGGGGCTGCCAGGAGGTGGGGCAGCCTGCAGGCTAGGAGTCATGGCCTGACTGTCCAACTTTCCAATCATGTATTTTGTTACCTTTTAAGAAATGCACTTGTCTTGGACTTCTCCAAGGCCAAAGAACTAAAGGAATAAATTCACCAGGAGCACCAGTGTGTGTGCCTGGAAACCATCAGAGGCAGACTCCAGAGAGGTGACAAGGCCCGGGCCTCGGAGCCAGCACCGCGGCAGGGGTGCTGTGGAGCTGATCTAACCCAGCATCCTGGGAGGTTGACTCACTCTAGCCCAGGCGTGGCTTAGCCCAGGTATGGGTTTTCTCTACCTTGCTGTGATGCTGCATCTCAGATAGAGCTTGCTTCCAAGTATATGTCTAGAGTGCTTGGTTTGTTTTTAAGATTTGCTCCAGAGCTTGGAGCTCAATTCTAGCTGAAATGTCATCCACAAGCAGGAGGCTGGAATCAAGGCTGCCAAAGGCAAGCCAGTCACTCTGCAGTGTGTCTCCTTATACAGGAATCTCCACCCTCAGTGCCCTGAGGCCACATCTGGGGCTTTAGGAAACGGGCTGCAGCAGCACTTACTTCCCTTAAGAGCCAACAGTTACCCACAGCCCACCATCTCTGCTGTTCTACCCTCAGCTCCCTTAAGGCCCAAACAAGTTGCAGGAGCCCAGGAGGAGACCTGGGAGAGGAGCAGGGCCTGTTTTTGCCTGTTTCTGGACTGACTTCGTGGACAATCAGAAGCATCACTCACCCTTCTAGGCTCGCATCTCCTCCAAATGTGCAACAAAGGACAAGGAGGTGAGGAAGGAGACATTCCACAGTGATGGTTGGTGGTGTCATAAACTGATGGCCAGCAGGTCAGGTGTGGCCAATAGACATATTTGTTTTTAGCTGACATTGTTTTAAAAGTTGTAAATCCACTTCTGGGTTCTCAGGCCCCACAATACCAGGCTGCCTCATGCTCTGCCCAGGGGCAAGCTGCCTGGATGGGAAGCAGTTCGGTCAGAGCTCATGAGGTTGTGAACTCTCTTTTCTGGGCCCATGGATATCCTGAGGACCTCACTCAGGCATTCCTGTACACTGTCACAGTCTGTTTCAAAGTGGAAAGGGCAGAGAAAAGAGGAGTATGGGGACAGCTCATGATACAGGCACTCTGCCCTCTGGGAGCCAGAGCCAGGCCACATCTGGGTCCTGCCAGGGGTCATGGTGTACGTTTGGACAGGCTCTGACCCCTCTGAGCTCCAGGATGCAGGAGGAGAGTATGGATGCAAGTTTCAGGTGTTGGTGGGAATTTGAGCGAAGACTGCAGGTCTCAGTGTTAATAAGAATCAAGCTGGACCAGCAGGCCACCAACCCTTAGTCCCTACCATCAAGCCAGCCTCTGGGCCCTGTTCTTTCTTTTTTCATTGTGGGTCTGGTGATTCCTGGAGGATTGAGGGATGGGTGCCTCCGAGCCATAGACTCTCATGACAGGATCACAGGCCTTGGGTAAGGGTGGGGCACAATGAGCCTGGAGATCTTCGAATTCATTGCATCTCTGTTGTAACTGGTGGACCTCAAATTTCCTCGCCTGTAAAACGAGCATTAGGATCTTTGCCCCACAAGTTGGTGGAGGATTCCAAAGCACTATCCAATGTCAGTTATGAAAGCGCTAACCCTAACCAGGGTGCCTTGGGAAAGGGAAGGTGGGTTTGATATGTCTTCAAATTTTTCCATATTGGAACTAGACAAATGGTATGAAAATATCCTTTTTCAAAAAGTCAGAGCTGGAACATAGGGCTGAAGGCCAGTGGAGGAATGCCCCCATGCCTCCCATGATGCTGGTGAAGTCCCAGGCTCAGGCTTTCCATTCAGAATTCTCTGGCATCTACTCAACAGCTTGTGCCCTTTGGAACTCTCCTCATCAAGTCCCAGGCATCTCTGAGAGCAGGTGTGCATGTGTGAGAACATCCATGTACATCTGTGTAATCCTGTGCTTCACATAGTTTCTAATAAATACAAATCCCATCGAGGACAAGCAAGGCCTCAAGCGAGAGAGAAAAAGCACGGAGGGAGCTCATTATGGGGTGAAATCAGGGTAGGATGGGGAGAGGCCAGTGTGGGGTGGGATTGCTGAGGAAGGATGGTGTGTGCCTTAGGCACCTGGCTCGAGGGAGGCTGACTTCCTCCCAAAGCCTAAATGCACAAGGATAAGCCAGGGTCCAAAGATGTGGTACATCTCATTCGCAGAGGGGTGGCAGGGAACAGAGGCCCAAGAGCCTGTGCTGGGGATCACCAGTCCCCCCACTTCCTGGGAGAGAGAGGAAGGTAGGAGCCAAGGAACATCCTTCTCCTACCTGGCCCAGCAGGTGGGGCTGGAGCCAGCTCATCTCAGCACCCATGGCTGGGCTCTGGCACCAGCCACCTTCCCTCTTTGCCTAGCAGATTCCAGAGGAGTGGCATGCACGCCATACCCTCATCAGCCCCACCTCTTCTCTGGGTGACTGGGACTACATGCCAAGTTCTCACAGGCCCAGGCACTCAGGCCGGAAAACTGGGCCCAGAACCCCCTCCCACTGCCCTCACTGTCAACCTCTCTACCATGAGTAGGAGATATATAGATGCAGGTGATGATGGCCATCGTATGTTAGAAGGCAGGGGCCCGAGTCCCTATCTCTGTCAGTTTCTATCAGCTCTATCTCTGTCAGTCACTGCTTGGAGACACCGCTTTGCTGAGCCTCGGTATCCTCTTCTGCCCCGGTACCCTGTGGGGATGCTGAGGACCAAAAACACTTGGAGATGACCAGAGGAGGCTTGTTTTTCCCCGGCATAGACCTGGTTTTCCCCAAGCTGGGCCTCAGTTTCCTCTAGGGGAGGCCTTTGCCCAAGGTGCTTCTGATATCCACCTCTCAAGGTATTCTTATTTCCCCCTGGAGCCAAACATTAGCAGGACTCAGATGCCTGCTCCCAAATGCTTGTTCAGAAGTGGAAAGCCTTCTCCAGATTAATATCCCACCTCTCTGGGAAGAAGAGGAGAAAACTGTCTGGTAAACCTGCTGTACCAAAGCAGCCGAGGCTCAGACTTAAAGGTCTTGCCTGAGATCCTATAGTACGGCAGAGCTACAGCCAGGACAAGAATGGCAAGGACACTGTCACATGAGATGACTGAGCCTGCTGTCATTGCTGTAACTTAGCCCAGGCTTGGATGGGGGCTCCATCTGGTTGTTCTGAGTTGGCAAGAGAGACCATGCAAGGGACTGAAGCCCCAGGTGCAACGAGGGTGGCACCCGGTACTCCCATCTCAAAACCACTCCCAAGTCACACACGTGTTCCTGTTTGTCCTGCCCCTCCCCTAGGAAGCCTTCTGCTGTCTCTCCAGTCTTCCCCGCTGAATTCCTCAGACTAGCCTAGCCCGCACTGAGCTCCCCCACGTTCCCTCTCTGAGCTCCTGTGGTCCTTGGCCATAGCCCTGACCATCCCAGCCCCTGTATCAACGGGAAGGTCTGCACTGTGTGAAGTTAAGCAAGTGTTTTCAACCCCAGCACCTCTGTGCCCAGGGACAGGCCCACCTCGGTGAGGACGCAGAGGGCTACCCCAAGTGGAAACTCAGGTTCTAGCTGACCGTTGTAGGATGCTGTGGTCCCTGGTGCAGGGGAAGGTCCATTTTGCTAATCACTGTCTATATCACTGGGACAAATTTGCTCAGAATCCACTTGCTGGGGTCCTGGAGGGTGGGTGAAGTGTCCATGGTGGGTTTCCAAAATGATATGAACCTGGACATGCCTCAGAAAACATTCCAGTTCAGCTCAGCGGTTCCAGGGGCGGAGGGGGTCAGGAGAGCCTCAGGCCCCTCCCTGGCTTGGATCAGATGATCTTCTGATCCTATCCAGCCGTGACATTCAAAGTCCACGATGCAATCAACACTTGGATGATCTCTTACTGTAGAACAGCAGCTGAAGAATCTCCCAGACAGTTCTCTTTTGAGTCCTTTGATCTGGAAAGGAGCTGCTCACACTTCAGTGGCCCCAAGGAAATGGAGACAAGAAGCCAGGGCATCTCTCCAAAGTGTTTTCTTCCTGGAGGAATCTCAGGGGTGGCTCACAGCACAATCTGTCCAGTGAGACTCCAGGTCAAGACATTAGAGCAGTAGGGGTGAGTAGGAGGCTGGGGCCCCACCCTCAGTCTCAAGGACAGCTTCGAGCTCCCATGACGGGGCACGCAGGGTGGAGGGGACATTCTGCGCACAGGCCAAAGGTGTCCTGTGATGCACTAGTGAGTGTAAGATGCATTGTGGGGCTGACAGTCTGCTAAGTCAGCTTTTCAGGCCCACAGACAAGCAGGAAGGTATTTACAGGGGTGCTGCTGAAGTAACAAAAGCTGGCTATCCTCCCCAGGCTGCAGCAGCCAGGGCGCACAGGTAGCCAGGCAGTGGGGGACTGGCAGCTGTGCTGGGCTGAAGTGGTCTGCAGCACATTCTGCTGGTTTCCAGAAACCCTGTCACCACCGGGAGAAGCTCATCGACTGACTCTTGAAATGGACAAGGTTCCGTAAGTCAGTAGCCCTACCAGAGAACCTGAATCCCTGGCAGGAAAAGGGGAAGGAAGGAGTTTCGGGTGAGTGGAGGAGTTGCTGGGGGATGGTCTTGCTGGACACCCCTACGGCTGTCTTGGGGTGCTGGGGAGGTTCTCTCCCTTAATGATATGTATCATAAGTGCTTGGCGCCTGCCTGGCTCCGAGGGTCAGTGACGGTCATAGGCAGTGGCAGCTGCAGGTGGGGCAGCTCCTCGGGCAGCAGCACTGTAATAGTAGGGGGAGCCTGGAAGAGACAAGAGAAGGCACTGAGGTTGGACCTGGGATTCCCTATCCACCCACCTCCCTGTCTCTGTCCCTTCTGACCTCTCACAGAGCTCAGCCCCTGTCCCCTTTCACCAAGATCGCTATCCTGATCTGTTCTCCAAACTGCAAACCCAATCAAGGCTGCTACCTGCCCTCAAGATTTCAGGGCTCATCGCTACCTACAGCCGGCTCAGCAGACTGGAGCCCTTGGGCCAGTCCTGCCAGCTGCCTGCGATGTTCTGCGGGAACACAGCCTTGCTCATCCCTTGGTCTACTGGCTGCGACTGCTTTCCTGCAACCATGGCAGGGCTGACTATTTGCAACAGAGACCCTGTACCTCACAAATCCTCAACTATTTATGGTCCCTCCTTTAAAAAATGTGCTGGCCCTTGACCTAGAAGGTCAAGAGCATTCAGATGTTTGTGCGGCGTGCAGGTGCTTTGTGGTTTAGCCCTAATCAGCCTCTTCTGACTCACCTCCCACAACCACCACCCCTTCCAGCCATGCTTACATACACTGCTCAAGGGAAACTGAACTCTGCAGTAATCTCAAACATACCATAATGCTAACAGCAACTGCTGCTGGCTCAGCATATCCTCTAAACCCGACATTATGTCCCCTATAGGCATCATCTCACTTAAACCAAGGCGGAAGGAAGAGTCAACTGATCAGACTCTTGGGCCTCTCTGCCTTTTCCTACTTAGCCTCCTGCCCGGAATAGCTGCCTGTGCTCCCATCACCCTGTTCCTGTGTGTTCATCTTCTATGCCTCCTTCGAGCCTCAAGGTCCCATTCCCTTCCTTTGGGAAGCTCCTGCCCTGACCTTGCACCCCCGACGGGCTGGGCCATGCACTACCACCCATTCTTTCTGCACACCCCATCCCCGGACAGAGACGGGAAAGGCGGGGCGGCGTTCTGCTCTCCTTGGTGTCCATCCCCATGCACAGCCTGGAGCCTGGCCCTGCTCACATGGGGTTTTGATGGGAATGAACCACCATACTGAGCAAGCAAAAAACAGTCAAGAACCCTTTGGGTCACCTTGGCCATTCATTCATTCATTCAGTAATTTACTCATTGCTCATTTCCTGACCCTGTTGGGTGCACAGGTGGGCAATCACAGGCAACCACTGGCCCGGCCTGGTGAAGGCTGACTTCAGGGCCAGGGAAGGGAGCTGAACTCTGAGAAATAGCTCTTGGGGACACAGCCTGTTCTGGCAAGCCAGCTTCCTGAAGGAAGTGGGGTTGGGCTGAGCTTGGACACAGGCGGCCTGAGGTGTGTGTGTATAAGAGAGAAGGGCAGGTGCCGGCCTCTTCTTACGACCTGGGGACAGAGTGGTAGGAGGGTCCCACAGCTTGCTGGGTTCCTCTCACTGCCTCTGGGCTGCTTTGTTTGACACTCTCCGCATGTGTCCCCCCTAAAGCCCCTCTCTGTGCTAAAATTCCTCCTCTGAGATGAGGGGCACTAGGGGACCCGGGGAACAGGGAGATTCTCAGAACCACAGAGCTTGGAGCCATTACTTAAGGTTCAAAGCCACACAGCCTCTCAGTGGCAGCGCCTGGCCCAGGATGCTGGGTGTCTGCTGCAAGCTCCAGCCTCTACCACAATGTAGCACAAGGCACAGCTAGCCTGGGGGATGTGGGTACTTAAGCTGGGGCAGCTGGGGCCTGTCAGCTCACGGTGGACCACGTGTCTGCTGGGGTGGAATTAGCAAGCCTCTTAATTCCTAGGTGAAGGGCTCCTGTTTATTCTGAAATCTCATCCAAACCTCACCAATCCTAGGTGTTCTCCTACGTCCCATAACAGGGAGTTGAGACCTGGAATTTGCCAGTCTGGCTCCACCACTTTGTGGCTGTGACTTCATACATACGACTTCCCTCCCTTGAGCCTCAGTTCTCACCTGTAGCAGGGGGTCATAGTGGGGCCACTGAGAGGGAACCATGAAATAAGGACGTGGAAATGCTGTGGGAATGGTCACTTTTCTAAAACTTCATAGCCATCAACTCTTCTAAATTTTCACCATAATCTTATTATGGTCCCCATTTTAGAGATGAGAACAATGAGGCAAAGCAGTGAAATAATTTTCCCAAAGCGGTACAGCTAGTATGTAATCATGCGGGGTAGGTTTGGGAGATACTTTAGCATGTGCTGCCTCCTCTCTAAACTCAGCCCCCCTTAGCAGACTCTCCTCTCCACCAGCCCGGCAATGTGGCCTCAGGCAGTGACAATGGTGAAGTCATTCTGAAAGGCATGGACACCAATCTCTTGCATAAGAATTCCCAGAGACCGAGTTTCCTGCTGTCTGCCTTGTCACCTCCCTGGTTGGAGCTCCACCTCAGAGACAGTGAGCTGTCTGCATCCCTCTGCCTTCTTCTGTGAGATGCACGGTGCCAGGACAGATGCTCACAGAGTAGCTGTACCAAGCCCTGTGTCCTGCCTCAGGACGGCCCAGGGGGTAGGGGCATAGTGAGGGGCCACCCCACAGGCCAGGGCATGGCAGCAGGGCAGGAAGACCACAGAGGCTGTCTTGCAAAAGGTCCATGGGGGCAGGCAGTGATGGGAAGGCTCACCAAGCACCCCTGGCTGCACTCCAAGCCCCTCACCCAGCCACCTCCTGCATCAGCTCTGGCTCACTCCTGCCAGAGCTGGGCCTCGGTTGAGAGTTTGCATTTACCATGAAAAATGAAAACATCGCCTCATAAAGCAATCTGTCTTTCTGGTACCATTAGACTTCCATCTCGAATAAACGTGTCTTTTGTTCTATCATTTTTCCTCTCTAATTCACATTATCATCAATTTCCTTCTTGACACAGTCATTCTGGGATGGTTCCTTCTCTAATCCCCTTACATGGTGGAGGAGGCTGTGGCCACCGGCACTACCATTCTAATCCTAATTGACCACCGCTCCCCCGCAGCCCTGCCTGCCTCGCCTGTCTCTCCTGCGCAACCCCCGAGACAGGGGGAACAAAACAGCACAAGATGCTGAGTCACAGCTGCCCCAGGTGGACACAGGTGAGGAGAGAAGGTCTCCTGTGAAACCCATATGAAACACGTCCTTCGCTTTCATTCGATGGGACTGCTGGTCAGCCAGTGAGGTGTGAACAGCATTGCCAGGCTAAGTGCCAGTGTGTGAGCGTGTGTGCACGTGTGTGTGTGTGTGTGTGTGTGTGTGTGTGTGTGTGTACTCCCTGTGCCCACAGCCCAGCTGAGTCAGCAGGAGCATCATGGAGCCAGGGCAGGTGCCATACATGTACCCCTCCCCACATGGCAGACATCATCAGCTTTGGGCTCCCTGGATGGAATCTCCTTGATACTTGCTCAGCCAAACCCTCGAAGACACCATGGCAAAGGCACCAATGCAATGGGCTTGGACCTATTTGCAAGGCCCTGGTCTGATGAACCAAGCAAGGGGGATCACTGCAGATTCAGGGCGTGCACCCCAAGACCATGACATTCACACCTGCTTAAAAGGCTGCCACACTGACTACCCCTGTTTTACACCTGAGTCAACGAAGGCCCAGATGGACGGCCTGACTAGGATTCCCCGGGTTATAGACTTGGGCAGCTGAATCAACTCAGCATCCACTCAAGTAAAAACATCAGGTAGGTGTAGATCCTGGTTCAACACTGAGATTGAAATGATTTTGACCCAACCAAAAAAGAAGTCTGAGAAGAGATCAACCCACAGATGCAAGCCCCCGGGAAACTAAAGATAGTAAGAGCATAGTAGTCTTCCAGAAGGCTGGAAAACTCCCTTGCACAGGGACCTGGAGCACTAACTAGCAGTGTTCCTTATTTCACTCACTGCTATGTACGACACACCAAAATTCTCTGGGCAGCCCGTGGCCTCAAGTGTATGGAATGGTGGTATCAGGAGAGAGGTAGTCCATACCATGTGAATGTCCTTATCACCAAATGAGGCTTGGGAAGGGGTCAAGGCTGAGACTTGAGAACCTCCTTCACAGACCTATGGCTTGGCAACTTGAGTTTGCAGATATCAGATTACTATTTTTCTGATGAAGATCATGTTTCTCAGTCCTAAAGTAATTAAAGATCCAGGGAATTAACAGGTTCTCACTTAAGGAGGCCTTGTTAAGCTGGACAGACAAACCAGAGTGTTCTCAGAGGATCCTTCCTTGTCTGGCCTTTCACTGCTCCAAGTAGAAAATTCTTAGCTGATTTTGGAGAGGGACCAGTGTTGCTGCCTGCAGGCTCACTGGGTGGCTCCATGCCCCGGATGTTAAGTAACATCTATAACTCAGGGTCTCTGCCTTAAGGTCCTTTAGCTCCAGCCAGCATTCACCAGCTCATTTCATGTCATTTTATGTGAAAAAACAAAAAGCTCTTCTTGGACTTTTGAAGGTCCAATTAGTCCTGCTTGTTCTTTAGGGGGTAAAAACACATTAATTATGTTCACAGATCAGGCTGGCACCAGCTATAGACAATCTGTCAATTTGAGGCTTGGGTAGAGGCTGGGCACCAGCTGAGCCCTGCATGGCATGCCTTGGCAGGCCTTCAGCCACAGGGTAGTGTGGAGCTGGCACTGGTGGCATCCATGGCAGACATCACTAATCAAACACTGGGCCTCAGAGTCCTTAGCAAGACACCTCTCCAGGCAGGCCCCACTGATTAATCCATGTCGGTGCCTTTAATGCCTCTATTTAGAGTATCCTCACCATACTTCATGGTTCTGAGGGAATATGTTATTCACAGAGACACTATCTACCTTCCTTTTTCTTCCTCAATACGTTTTTTTCCCCTTTTACTCTTCTATGGTATTTTCCCTGATCCGCCAGAATATCTGGGAGAGAGAGATGAGGTTCACAAGGGGGCTGGAGTGGTTATGGCCCACAGAGCCCCATGGCTACCCCGTACCCACCCCACTTCAGTGCCTGGACTTCTGGTTGTTGAGGACCCAGGGAGAAGGCCCCGATGAGGTTGCCCACAGCCTAGGAACCCGCAGGCCTCTGCCAGTACTCACCAAGCAGCCCCGGGTTGGGGAACCTCCAGGAGTCATTGTATGAGGAATACTGAGGGTGGCTGTAGGGACTCCCAGAGAACTCACTCCCTGCAGATGACAGAGAGAAACAGAGGCCAAATGTTAGGTCAAGTTCAGAAAAGACCCGTGTCCCATCCAGCCTGGGTGCTGATGGCGTTTGCCTCCCTCCTAAGCTGGAAGTTCTTTTTACAACCAATGAAGGCCATGTCACGGGCACATCCCTACCAAGTGAGCAGCTGTCATTGGCATTGTGCATGTCTTTCTATAAAGCCTTTGTATCAAGGGGAGTGAAAGCCAGCCTCTCATGTGGGCACCATGGAACCACCACGTGCCAGGTGTTCCTGGGGATACTAGCTCACTTTACAGGTGAGGAGACTGATGTCCAGGCTCTCACACAATGGCCCTGGTACACCTGCCCAAGTCCAAAGCCACAGACTGGTAGATCTTAGCGTGGGTTCAGTTCTACTCCCCACAACATGACCTCAGCTTTAGTCTGACCATCTTCACTGTGAATCCAGGGGTGACTTCTGGGGCTTCAGTCTAGTCAGGGAGATGAGACAAAAACCTAGGCCCTCACCTTGAGGATGCAGCGGCCACTGGCACACTGCGGACATGAAGGGACAGTCCAAAGGACAGGGGAAGGAAGAGCCTCTTTACTGCTGGCCAGGTCAAAGGGAGGGAGCCTCAAATTCTACCTCCCACACTCTTGCTGCCTTGCTCTTGTAGCAGCCAGGGCCTGCCTGTCTCCTCTAATGGCTGGGGGCCCCCAGCGGGGAGGCTTGGCCCCTGACTCTCACTGGGTACCCTGGCGCCTGGCAGAGGGGTGTATCCAGCAATGGCCGTGGAGCAGGACATGAAGAGTCAACTGCGGAGCAGTTTGCTTTAGCTGCTAGGTACAGAGCATGTGGGCTTGCCCTGCTGGAGATGACAGGAGTTACACAGCCCCATGAGACCACGTGCAGCCAAAGCATAACTCCATGTTCCACCAAAGGTGCTGATAAACGCCAAGGGCCAGCCAGAACTCAGGAGCGAGAACAATGCTCACTCCCCTGCCGCCTAAACCTAAATGTGCACCCCATGGGGCCCTGAACGAGGCAGTGCTGGGGGGACAGCTGCCCCGATCCACTGGGCCCAACTGACCTCCCCCAACCTCCACAGGCAACCACAGGAAGAGCGTGTACACACACACACACACACACACACACACACACTCACACTCACACACACACACACACACACACGCAAGCACGCACTCGCGCCTCCGTGGGCCTCTCTGGGGGCCACTCCCAGCCTGACAGGCTGAGCCTTCCAATTCTCTGTTTTTTATGCCTCAGTGGTCAGGGTGTCAGGCTCTGGTGGAGGGAGGGAGAGCATGGTGACAGTGCTGGGCTGCAGCAGCCCAGCTTCTGCGTATCCATCAGTGCCCAGACGCCTCCCGCTCCTCCTCCTCCTGCTCCAGGACAAGGTAGGGGAAGCAGAGGCAGTCACCCTCCCTCTGGGATCCGGGGCCCGTGGAGCGCCCCATCGGAGATACTTCCTGACAGTGTCATGCTGGACCAGGGCATTAGGTAACCAACTCAAAGACTGTCTCTTGAGTAGCACGGCTTCTGTGCCCAGGCTCAGCTCCCAGGCCACCTCTTGCACCAAGATCACCTCCCTGATCTCCAGCACCCTAAGTACAGTCTCAGGTGCACTTGGCTTGAAGTAGATGTGTGCTTGTTATCCATCCCCAAATTGGCACTGGCCACTGGAGGCCCACACAGAGCCATAAACAACTCCCAACCCCTTTAGAGAATGTGCCTAAGTCCCTATCTCCACCCTCTTCCACCCACCCTCACTTAGCTGGCCTAGAGCGCTGAGCATGGAGGCCCGCAGATACCTCCTTGTTTGGGGCCCCCTTTCATGCCCTTCCTCAAGCAGATTCAGTCTCCAGCGTCATCCCCAGCAAGGGATTTTCCCTGCCCTAAAGGGGAGTCCCTGTGGCATGGGCGTTTCTGGCCCTGCGGGTCCTCCCTGTATGTATGTCTCATCTTGTCCCCAGCTTAATGCCATGTCCCCAGCAGACGGGTAGTGTTCAGTAGATCACTAGTGGTTCTCTGGGTCCCCCATGACTCACCTGTCCTCATGGTTCTCTCTTCATTTCCTTCTAAGCTTCATTCAGGTGAGGCCCATCCCTGGGAGGCCTTCCCTGACTACCCATCCCTCTTTCCTGCTTTATTTTTCTACATAGACTGTATCATACTCCAACCTGTCTTATTAATCATGCTCATCTTATTAATTATCTGCCTTTTCCACCAGGCCATAAACTCCTTGGAGGCAGAAAATTTTCTCTGTTCATGTCTCTATCCCAACTTCCAACACAAGGCTTGGCATCCAGCGGGGATGGGTGACTATTTGTTGAATGAATGAATGAATGAATGAAGGGAACTTCTAAGTCAACCAGGGACGCTCTACCAGAACAGATCTCCCTACCTCAGATCATGGCTCCCACTACTTCCATTATTAGCGCCCATAGCTAGGAACTAAAGGAGTAGCTGCTATGTGCCAATATTTAAGCCAATTCCTCTGACTCCGATGCTCATACATCGCCCTGTCTCTCTGTAGAGGAAATGAATCCATAAGGAGCTCAGCCCCTGCCTGGTGTCCTAAGAATTGTGATGTAGTGGGCACCTTCAACCCAGGGTCCCTGTCTCTGAGATACCCTATGTAACTTATGCACTCTGGGTAAGAGGAGCCTGACCTTCTCCAGGGCATGAGGTCAAACCTAGGTACTAGCCCAACTACCTGTGGGGGACCCTGGGATGGTGCTTGTTATTTTAAATGCCACATATGAAGCTGTTTGAGTGTTGGGAGTCCTTACCACATGAAAGATGGGGAGGCCAGGTCCTCAGTCGCCAAGCATTGTCTATACAGCTGGCCTTATCAGGCCACAAAGCTGGCTGGGAAGCAGCAGACTGCCTCGGTTCAAGCCCACACGCCTCTACTGGACCCCATGAGCTTCAGTCAGTTTGGCACGAAGGTTGGGAGCAAGAGGTCTGGAGCCAGAATGCATGGGTTCAAATCCTAAGCCTGCCTCTTCCCAGTTCTGTGACCCTCAAAAGATCACTAAACCTCTCTGTGCCTTAGCTTCCTTCTCGATTTACTAGATTGTTGCAAAGACCATGTAGTTGTTGTGAGCTCACACACACCGATACAGAGTGCCCGCTCGGTGAATGCCGTGAGGATGGCAATGGTCCTGTGCCAGCTGCCATGCCCTCCTTGGCATTCAGAATCTCAATTAACCCCCCTGCTGATCCTACAAAGCTCACAAGGTAGGTAGAATCATGTGCATTTTATATGTGAGCAAATGGAGGCTGGAGAGGGAGAGGGGACTTGCCCTGGTCAGGGGATGACTCCAAAGCCAGGATCCTGTCTTCCAGATCAGGACTTTCCTGCCTACACGGCACTGCTTTCCTGACTTGGGCCTCTGCTTCCCCATTTGTAAAGGCCCCTGTCTCCTGACCCTGATTCCACTCGGAAGCCATGGGGCTGCCCCTCCTGGGCTCCTCCCAGGTGCTCTGGTCCCCTCGCCTAACCCTCGGTCTCTTGGGTTGGGGGCTCCAGCCCTTTGCTTCGTTTCTCTGCCTGAAATTATCCCTAAACTCACATTCGAGGGGCACTTGTCTTCTTTGCTGGAACCTCAGAAAATCAGACTAGAAAAGTACAGTTTGTTGTGCCCAGAAAAGGCCAGGGGCAGCATCTGGGATGGAGGGGAGCAGGAGCTGGGCAGACATCCCAGGACAATCAAAAGTCCAGGGCAGGTCATGTGACTCGTGAGTGATCAGGCCTTGGGTGAGGCCCTGGAAGAGGCAGCTGCAGAACAGAGCAGGCATGGGGCAGGATGGTAGGATTTGTCTCCCAGTGGGGCTGGGACCCGGCCACGGCTGCAGGCCGGGGAGCACCAGCATCCGGCGGAGAGGCTGGAGGAGGGGAGCCTTGGGTGGGGGCCCTGCCAGGTGGCTGCTGCCACAGCACAAGTGATAGAGAGCAGGCCTGAAGATGACATAGCTGCACCCTGCGTAGGTACGAAATAGTCCTCAGGAGCAGGAATAATATTCATAAGGCAGAAAATGAAAGTTCTTGGCTCCGGCCTTGTCAAGGCCTGCAGAAGTAGAGCTCACACAATAAACACCTTTTCTAACAACTTTGCCCAGCGAGAAAGACAGCAGGGGCGCCTGCCTCTTTCTACTAACTGACCCAGGCTTCAGGCATCACAAAAGTGCTGACCCTTTAAACTGGAATCAAGTTCTTTATGCATCAATCACTCCTGCCCAGGAAACTGTCCTTCAGTGGGCAGTGAGACCCCACCTGGGGGTGGGGGGGTGCACAGCACAAGAGACCTCCTCAGACAGCCCTGGGCACTGCCTGGAATTGGCCACATTAAGCCCCTAAGAACTCTTTCAGCAGCAAAATCTATACCATAATCTTCTTCCTCATGTCCCAAGCAGCAAGCAGTCCAAAGGAGAAACAGGACCAGACCCAGAGCCTTCTGAGGCCAGGTCTGCAGTCAGCATGGCCAGGGGGTCCCACATGTTACAGTGGGAGCAAAAAGCAGGCAGGCGTGGCAGGGTGGGTGGCCTTAGGGTGGGCATGAGCGTTCCTGTGGCAGGCCAACAGCTTGCTCGGTAATCAGCCCTCAGCTCACTGGTTGCATGGCCTTGGGCATGTGATTGAACTTCTCTGGATAGAATCTCCTCATCTAGAATAAGTGCCTGATAAAGCACTGCTATAGTCTGACAGTCCCTACAAAACTCAAGTTGAAATTTAATCTCCATTATGAAGTTTTAAGAAAGTAGATATTTAATCCAACTGTGGTAGTTGGAGGCAGGACCTTGGGAAGGTAATTAAGGTTAAATGAGGCCATAAGAGTAGAACAGTAATGCGACAGGACTATGGATTTATAAGGACAGGACAAGACGCCTGGACTAGAATGTTCTGTCTCATCACATGATTCCCTGCACTGCGTTGGGATGTGGCAGAGAGTCTCTTCCAATAAGAAGGGCCTTACAAATGCAGCTGCCAAATCTTGA